ATGTGGAGCAGAAGAGGATGTCTGTGTGGTCGATGATGAATTCCACCACAGACGACTGCATCTGCAGTTCCGTGCAGGCAGCTCTCCCGCTGGCGCAGGCAGACTCGCTCTGCTGTGATCTGTAGAAAAGGCAGGTTTTAGAAGTCATTCAGCCAAGATCGCTTCCCCAGGTCTGAATTACTGCAGCCCAAAGCTGTCACATTTGTTCTCTGGAGACTTCCGCAGTGGGCAATCAGTGATGCCACTGAAGAAGTTCTCCTGGCTGATCAAGGGCACACCAGTCCCATCTAAACAAGAGAGCGGCAATGCTCAGCTAGAAATTGTGCCCACGTGGGGTTGGAGAACAGTCCAGGCTCCTGCTCTGCTGTCAGCCACTCACTGCAGATTTTACAGGAGAAGAGCACATGTGGTGCAGAAGAAGGGAGGATTGCTTTATTCTACTGGAGAACAGATGTAAGCGTTCTGTTGAAACGGAAAAAGAAGTTTACCTTAAGAGGTTTGGAGCCCACACAATCGCTAAGTTCTTCGCATGCATGTTTGTGGTGGAGCAGTGCCCAGCCAGACAGGCCAAGTGTCTCATCAGATACGCCAGGGTCCTGGGAAACAAGAGCGGCAAATGTTCAGCACCAGCCAGCATGCCGTGCTGCCACTCACAAAGCAAACCTCACTTCGTGCTAGTTGCTATTATTGCTACTGTCACTGAAGATGAAGTAGATCCAACTTGACCAAGTGCCACGCTGCAGCACCCAGCACCAGCACAGCACAGCTGCAGCCATCAGCTGCACCAAGCGTGTCCCTGTGCCCAGGAACTCACCCCACAAATTAACCCCGTGTAGCCTTCAACCGCTTCAGCACACCCAGGCATCCTGTTGCTCACGTGAGACAAAGCCTGGAATCGCACCAATGCCCTCTGAAGTGCAGCAGGGCTGAGCTCAGCAGGCTGAGGGCAGCACTGACCTGTAGTGAGGAGCGGGCAGCTGCTGGATGACGTCCCGCATTCTGACCAGCCGCTCCTCCTCCGTAGTGGCACCAACAGCATCCTGGAAAAGGGCAGAAAGGGATTGAGACACAAATCAGGCGAGATACCTGCCGCAGGGTCGGGAACCATGGGCACAGCGCGCTGCTGGTCAGCACTGAGAAAGATTTTAGGCCTCCCCAGAGGCATCTGGCGAACATAGCGGCACGCAGCTGGTGCCACCACGGCCAAGGAGTCCAAGCACCGGGCCGGTTTACAGCCTGGTTGGGCAGCTCAGCTCCTCGCAGGGGGCATTCATCTCCAAGTACCCTTGGCTATTAATCCCCTTCCCGTTCCAGAAATAGGTGGGGAATAGCAAAAAACAAACAAATAAACAAACAAACAAACAACACAGGAATTCTCGCAAGCATTATGAATATGGAAATAACCACCTCCAGGGGCCACCAGAAGTGGCATCAGCACGATGCAGGATGTGGCAAAGACATGCGAGTAAAACCCATGGGGCTAACAGAAGAAGGGCCTCAGAGCTGGGGCATGGGGCACTGCTGCAGCCATCTCCCAAGAGGCCCAGGGAAGAGGGAAAGGAAAGGCGTTGCCTTGTGCTTACCGAGAACTTGTCGTACAGCTGGTCGGTCAGCAGGGGGTTTGGGAGCTCCCTGAAGTACATTTTGCAGAGGGAGCTCGCGCTGTGAACGTCGCGGACGGTTAGCTCAGGAACCTGCTCAGACTCAAATTCCTGGCTGCAGAGAAGGACACGAAAATGGTTGAGAAAGAGGAAAGCAAGTCAAAAGCCACACCCAATGCAATCAAGAGTTGGAAGGGCTTCCTGATGTACAGGAGAACACAAACACTCGGCCACCAGCACCACGTCAGCCGTGCTGGATGGGATGTTCCCAAAGGAGACCTTCTCTTGGTGCTAAGGCATTGCCCGCAGGCCTCTGAACGCCCGCAACAGGGCACGTGCCCCTGCTGGCAGCTGTGTCTGTCGGTCGCAGCACTCTTACCGCAGTCTCTGGACGTTGGACGCCACGCCGGACAGGCGGTATATCCCCTGCACCACGCCATGCTGCTCGATGAACTCGGCGCAGCTCTGGAGGACCTGGGGGACTAAAGAACACGTGCCGGCGGTTACTGGAGCTCCTCATTCAAGTCCTGGCTCAGGCTGCGCTCCCGCCACATCCCATCCACTAAGCCCAGCCAGGCTACTGCTGTGTTCTTCCTTGAAGGGGACAGCTGTCACAGACACCTCTGCAGGAGCTGGTGAGGAAACTGGACAGAGATGTGTTCTTTGCATTCCAGAAATGCCAGGACCTAGGAATCAGCCTGGAGAAAGTAATTCCGGGGAAGCCGCAGACATTGCAAGTCCCATCACAGCTCCCACGGGAACGGAGGTGGAAAATCTCACGCCCGGAAGGAGCTGGGAAACTGATGCAGGACACTCTCTTTGGCCAAAAGGCTTCCTTTCTTTTCAGGCTACCAGGGGATTGGCTTACAGGCTTTGCTTTAAGCAAATACAAATGTGCTTGTCCCTTAGGAGCATTTCCCTTGCAGCCATCACCTACTCGTTGATCTTTCTGTCGTCAACTCCCATTCCCCGTTTCTCCACTGGTATCAACCTGCCCCTTGCTAGATACCATCTCCCTTTCATCTTGAGGTTCCCAAACAGGGAGGCTCTCAGGAATGGGCTGTCCCTTACCATCACGACCAGAGTGGAGAAGATGCTCTCCCAGGTCACGGCCGAACACCCTCTCCTTCTCCACCTCCCGTTCTTTCCGTTGCTTTGGGCGGGCCTTCACCACGGAACGAAGGAAGGTGAGGAGCTTGCCGCGCTTCTTTGGCACTGCACAACAAAAGGAAGAAACCAGTTCATCTCAGGTTTGGCTCCGTTGGACGAGGCCGAGCACAACACATTCTACAGAGCACCTCAAAAGGGAAGAACATGATGAGCAAGTGCGTACCAAAATGGATTTTCCCCATCATTGGAGGAGTCCAAGGCCAGACTGGATGGGGCCCTGGGCAGCCTGGTCCAGTCCCACATTAAATGTGGAGCTTGGTTGGCAGCCCAGCTTGAGGCAGGGGGCTTGGAGCTTGATGATCCTTGAGCTCCCTTCCATGCCAAGCCATTCTACAAGGATTCTAGCATTTCCCCAACTCCAGTCATAAACACAGGAGGACTGGGCCAAATCTCTGCACGTTCTGATGGACTTTAATGCACTCCTCTTGCTTAGCTTGCTCAACCTGGGCATTAAGGACCCTCCTGAAAAGCCACGTTCTGATCAAGCACAGAAGCACTAGCACAACCAGACCTCTATCTGTCCACCAGGGACGCTGGCTGTTCTCAGCCTCGTACTGACTTGCAGGAGAACTACCTTTGCCTTCCCTCATTCTCACTGCCTACAAAACACCAGCCATATGCCCCGTGCTATGCATGAAGGATCATCAGCACAGAGGATAACGTGGGAAGGATAAGGGAGGTATTAAACACGCAACACACCCAAAAAAGACTCCATTTTGCTTCCCTGCACCACCAAATGTATCATCCGTACCTGGCTTTGGCACTGAATTGATGAGAGACTCCGGGATTTTTCCGTTAATGAGCTCCACACACTCCCCAGGGAAAAATCCAACCTGTAACAAGAAGAAGACAGGTGTGATACTGAAGGCAGCGTTTCTCAGGCCTGAACTGTTCAAACATCACATTTTCCTCATAACGTGCCTGCCGGATGCTCCGTAAGACAATCCAACAAAAAAATGGCCTGCTTAAAATTAATAATTATTCCAAATTGGCAGGCAAATATCCATAAAACTGTGTATGGAGTGGGGAAAGGACAAGTATGCTATGCACCCCTAAATATCAAGTGTGCCCAAAGGGAAAGACTTCATACAGAAGATATATATTATGATAGATTGATGCAGCTAGATCTGAGTTTGCACAGCCTATGAACTTTCTGCTTGCTGACTGAGATGCAGCTGCCATCCCCAGCTCTGAGCTACCCAGCGTTCTGCAGCCAGCAGCAGCAGCAAGCACACAGAGGCTCTGTTACCCTGCCTCATCTCAGCTGACAGGCAGCGACTTCCTAAAAGACACTGACTTCACCTTCTGCATGGCTGCAAGCACAAGAGCTCAGAGACACTGAAACACGTCTCCTAGCTGCTGCATTTCCAAAGGTGCGGTTCAGTGGCCGTGACCTGATGCATGTTGTGAGGGCTCTTCTTTCTAAGTTAATTGAGGAGGCAGTTTCCTACAAGACCAACTTTCAGCTCTGGCCTAAGCCCACAGCAAAAGGCAAAGTCCTCTGACACCAGCACAAGGAAACTATTTTCCATGTGGAGCCATGCTGTGCAGGCAGGGCAGCTCTAAGCTGAGATTCCTGCCTCGACCAAAGCTGCGCTCTCACGTCTGAAGCTTGTGCCTACCTGAAAGCCGTGCTTGCCTCTCCAGCGGGGGCTCAGCTCCTGAGGCGGCATATCGATGACGCACACGAGGTCTCCCACCTGCAAGAGATTGCAACGTCAATCCCAGCTTCAGCACGGCTGGGAGGAAAGCGCAGCTCAAATGACTGCATTCTTCTGCACTGCCCAATATCGTCAAGCTTGAGAGCCATTGCACCAGTGCAGCTCTTCAGGCATTTGCAGTGGTACAACCGAACGTGGAGGTAGAAGAGTCACTACAACACACAACATACAGAATTCAGCTGTTCAGTAGGAAATGGTTCTCAAAAGCAGCAGGCTCTTTGCCAAAGGGAGAGCTCCAATTAAACCGCAGGCATAAGTCAGCGGAACAGATCCTGAGCAGATCTGCACACTCCATACACTGCTCTGCCATTGCTCAGAGACCAGGCTACCACACTGGGCAGTAGCTCTTTGATCACAAGATTCCAATGCCAAATAGAGCCATAGTTTAGAGATGGCTGAACTCCTCCCTGCATCCAACCCAGTGCAAGTCTAATCTGGAACCGCATCTGCTGGGCTTCACCTCACCAAACATTCTGAAGGTGTCTGAGAATATTCCTGATAGCTTCACATGTTATACTCTTCTGTACAGGACAACAAGGAACGCCCTTAACTGCTTACCTCCAAGGAGAGTTCACCCGGTGCCTGGGCAACGTATCTCTTAATAACGTGGGCAGCAGCAATAGCTGGGATATTAAGAGATGACTCCTCACGGACCAGCAGGGGCTTCCCGTTGTTCTCAGCCTGAAACAGAGAGCACAGGCCATGGTGAGGAGCTGAGGGCAAACGAGGAGGATTTCAGGCTGAGGAGCACGTCAGCAGAGAAAGCTGCAGGAAATGCACTCGGTCCTTATCATGGGCACACAAGAAGGAACGGCAAGGCTAAGAACATGCCCGCAGCAAGGAAAGAAAGCCTTTAAGGCAGCTTTTCAGTGACACTGATAGAGCCGCAAGGATTCGCTCTCTCTTGAAAAGCAGGAGAGCACATCTGCGGCTCACTCTGCTGGCTCAAATCAGGGAACAAAGACCAATCAGAGCTCCGTACTCTACCTCCATCCGTGTCATGTCAGGCCCACAGCTGATCTCGCTGCACGCGACGCCCATCACAGCAGGCACGACAAGCTGGAACTGAAGAGAAACACGCTCATATTTTCTCTCTTCACATACCACAGTATTGAGAGACTACCGGAGAACTACCCTTGGCTATCCTCTGGCACAGGCAGGTGCTCTAGAAGCAACCACTCTGTTCACTCCGTTCAAATGGGACAGCCCATTAGGCAGCATTTGACCAAGCAGCTGTCCCTCTGCTAGCAGATGGGGACTGGCACAAAGCAGCAGATGCATTCGCCCAGGGCGCTCTGACAGCGCAGCAGCAGGGCAGTGAGAGCAATCATTGCTGCAGGTGCATCTGCTCCCCGGCCACGGCTCCCAGCAGCCTCACCACCGGCACCTGCTGCAGCCCCGCACATCAAGGACATTTCCTTGATTGCATCTCTGCTGTGCTCCCTACAGCTGCCGCGCACACTCACACAGCCCAAGCGTGCGTGCTTGTGACCTTGGGTCACGCTGTGCAGCTCGGCACAAACTGGGCCTAGGACTCTTTGCCTAAGGGATCGGTTTCCTTCAGACCAGCTGGTCACAGCACCACACACAGCATCCTTCTGAGGACGGAGCTGCAGGGGAAGGGAAAAAACCCACACGGGACCAGTGTCCCATCAAAGCTGAGTGAGGCTGTGTTACCAAACATGGTGTGACACAGTGCTGGTCAAAAACGTGGGGGGACAAAGCGTGGCACGTACCTGGCAGGAGATCAGAACAAGGTAGACAATTCCTTGAACTCGCAGCTGTTTCTTGTCACTTTGCTCTGTTCTTCCACGAGCGAAAGCTGCACCAAGGGAGCGGGTAGAGGAGAGAGAAGGAACAGGTCTGTGAGCTTGCATAATGTAGCAAAGATGACAAGGGAAAAACCATGGGACAAATGCCATCTTTGTGGATCGCTTGGGAATGCAGGTACTGGCTGAAAGTTACGTCTGATGGACAAGAGTAAGCAGTATGAGCTGCTAGGAGCTCCACCAGCCAGCAGCTCTCAACACCTCACTGCCCACCCCTGTATCTCACGCCCTGTCTCAGCTTACCTACAAGATGCTGCGCAAGACACAAGGGGTGAAAACGAAGGCACTCAGTCGCTGCACAAGGGCAACAAGCGAGCTACTCACGCAGAGCTCAAGCGCTCCAATGAAGGGACGCAGCACGCACTGCTCCTCCCCTCATTCCAGCCGCTTGTGACATCACTAAGGGCCACCAGGCTGCTCCGCCATGACAACAGGGTGGGGAGGCAAGACCATGTCACAGGACCAGAAGATTCCAACACGGCACCCAACATTCTAGAATCAGCGGGCGGTTGGAATTCTACCTCAGCCCAATCCTGCAGAAGCTGCCATGCGGTTGTCATGACCACAGCGCAGGACCCAGCGCTTGCTCCTGTGCAGCCTCGTACGACTGGCCTCAGCTGTGCAGCCTGGTACGACTGGCCTCAGGCCGTCCCTCTGCAGGGCCTTCCTGCCCTCGGGCAGATGGACATTGCTTCCCAACAGCGTACCTTGCAGCGCAGGGCCTATGTACAATCCACACTGGAGTCCTATAGATCTCTATCAAGCTATGTATACCTAGAAACACAGTCTCGACTACCGTCTTTTTTCTTAGTCTTGAGGTACACCATTCAGCTGTTTCATTGCCATCAAACAACCCCACTGATGGCACACTGCTGACACAACGTCCTTGCAAACACAGCAGCAACTCCTGGCACCGATAGCTCTGGGTACAACAAGCACAGGGCTCTGGGTTGCTTTGGATGCAGTTGCAGCATGGATCTGAGGGCTTTGTGGAAGGGGATATATTGCAAATTGCACCGACGTTTTCAGACCATTTCTCTTTCGGCATGGTCCCAGCACCTGGCATGCTGATCATCATCCTGAATATACATTTTGTCAAAATTCCACAACTAATGAAATAGTTCCTTACCAAACGCAATCTGATCACTCTTCTGGCCATATTTTGTTCCAGCTACCGCTTCCTGCGGGTGGCACAAACAGCGCTGCATCACCTATAGCTCTCTGCTCTTACAGTTCTCACGCTGTCTGGGCAGTCCTCGTGGCCTCTAAACTCTCTCATGCCACACGTGCCACATTCTGAGGCACAGAATACGTATCACACTACTTCAAACGCCTTTTTTTTTTTTTTTTTTTTTAATATAATGATACTAGGGATAATCATCTGGAGCTAGAGCAATATGAAAAAATTCCCTTCAGTTCAACCATAAGTCTGCCCCATGGACTCCAGAAGAGCTCTAAGAATACGCAGGGTGGACATGGATGGCAGTTACCATAAGAGTAAGCAATGAAAAATGAGGTTGTGAGCCATGCTGTGTCATTGCATCTGCGGGCAGGGATTTCTCCTTGGACTGAGCAGAGTGCAGATGTAGCCTGAGAAAAGAACTTGGGATCATTCAGGAAAAGGAAATGAGTTGAGTAATTAATTGAAGAAACTCACGTTCTAAAGGTACTTAGAAGGAGAGAGTATTTCCCAACAGAATGGGTTTAACTGTCTATTCCCTGTTTTGTTCGACAGGTCTACTCTATGTATGCTTAGACTGACCTGAGAGGGCACGCTTCAGCACACCCCAGAATTTCCAGTTTCCACATCGTCCAGGCAGCGCAAGTGCGGTGTACGTCTCCCTTGGCACAGACATCAAGCTTTTCTTCCTGTGCAATAAACTAATTATGACGGGGGAAGGGGACAGTACAGGCCTCACAAGAGAAGAGCCTGGGGGAACGATTTTAGAGCTGGGAGTCAGGCAAATGACTCGGCTCAAGTGCATCTATACCAATGCACGCAGCATGAGCAACAAGCAGGAGGAACTGGAAGCCATCGTGCACCAGGCTAACTACGATCTAGCTGCTGTTACTGAAACATGGTGGGACTGCTCCCATGACTGGAGCGTTGAGATTGATGCCTGTAAGTTCTGCAGAAGGGATAGACAAGGAAGGAAGCCAGAATATTCATCAATACTGAATTCATCCTGCAATTCAGGAACCTCACAAGCAACCTGAAAAAAGCGTCTTAAAAAAAAAAAAAAAAAAAAAAAAAAAAGAAAAAGGAGAAAAAGGTAATCAGCATCCCAGCAGCTGTTCTTCTTTAAACCAGGGTTCCCAAGCATACTACAATTGAACAAGCTATAGCTTATCACATCAAAAGCCATCTAGAAGATTCAGTTATTGGTACTGGCCATGTCGGCATTCGCTCACTGTAAGCATCTGCAGGACAAGTCTATGGACCGAATGACCTTGTGCACCCATCCTTCTGTCTTAGCTGCAAGAATAATCCTCACTCCCAGCCATTTCCAGTTTTCTTTCTTACAAAAGATGAAAGATAGAAATAAGCTCTTCATTCAAAAGTTACTTTATTATACAAACAACTAAATTCCAGCCTGGTTTAATCCAAGTGCCATCTAGTTTGCATACAGAGAACTAGGGTGCATATAGGAAAGAACGCATGCACACTCCAGTCTTCAATGGCCAGAATATCATAATAAACACATAGAAAAACAGCCTTTACTCTGGAGGCTTGTATGGCAAAGCCAATTGTTTTGACCAGCTCATTAATATACTATATCTAGTTTGTAAATTCCAGCTACGTATTTTATATGTCATTATGATCAATGATTCACAGAATCACAGAATCACCCGGGTTGGAAGGGACCTCAAGGATCATGTAGTTCCAAACCCCTGCCTAGCAGGGCCACCAAACATATACATTCATATCAGGTTGCCCAGGACCCCGTCCAACCTGGCCTTGAACACGTCCAAGGACGGAGCATCCACAACCTCCCTGGGCAGCCCGTTCCAGGGCCTAACCACTCTCCTTGTAAAGAACTTCCCCCTAACATCCAACCTAAATCTTCACTCCCTCAACTTGGATCCATTTCCCCTAGTCCTGCTATTGTCAGCCCTTCTGAAGAGTTTACTCCCCTCCTGGGTGTAGGTTCCCTTCAGCTATTGATAGGCTGCATGATTGTGGAAGCCCAAAGGGCAATCTCTCATTTTCAACAGACTTCCTTTTGGACAGAGATGGAATTTATTACATTTAAAATTCATCACTCCTCTTTCTTTGCAACACTGTCCTCTGCCAAACTCCTCAACACAATCAGCTGAAGTCTTCTACCTGAATTTCTGGGATGACTGTGACAAGTATTCCTTCACAATGCTCAGATGTGCACTGTCTCCCATGAGCATCTTACTGGACGCAGCATGCTGCAGCATCTTTGCAACAGAACCAAGGTTTCTTCGTTCATCTGTAGTCAGCTGCCCTCCAGCTGAAAGATCCATTAGGTCAAATGCATCCGGTGCAACCGTGGCCGGATTCACGTAGCGGTGATAGAGTAAGTTGCCAACAATCTAGGACAAGTTGAGGAGAGAAAAAAACACGTGCAAAACCAATGGCACAGACCTCCACTGAGTTTTACTGACACTACTCTGAGTGAGTTCTGACCAATTACTTTCCTGTGAGCTGTGGGCCCCGTTCAAGATGCAGGGTCTACTGCGCTGCCATTAATAAGCACATGCTGTCCCTAAGAATCTTAGTTTCACACTGTAACATAGATACATACACTAAATAAATGCACAACTCTCAACACAGAGGTGGTAAGACTGACCACTACTAGCTCCAGAACAACACAACTGCAGATATTCCTACACACAAAGGTTTTCAAATTTCACTTTGAATACCACCTGTCCATATATTTTTAGAAGTTACCAAAGAATTCCTCAAACAAGCGTAAAAGTTACTCTGAGAATTAAACCAAGCTTAGTCTAACAGAAGGCAGAACAACTACGCTACAGAGAAACCTGGTACTGCAGTCTCACTAAGGGATAGGAGCCAATTCCTAACACAGGTGTGCAGAATTGACCACCATCTCCAACAAAGCAAAAATGGGGAAGCGTGGCAAACCAAGGAGCTGAGCTGAGAAAACAGCAGCTACTTTCTGCCCCTTTTCCAGAGCACTTCTCTCTCTCTCAGAATACCTCTTTGGTTAACAAGCAACGTTTTTAGCTACACATCCCCATTTTGAAGACTAAACATTTTGAAGAGTAAACTCTTCAAAAGGGCTGACAACAGCAGGAATAGGGGAAATGTTTTAAGTTGAAGGAGGGAAGATTTAGGTTGGATGTTAGGGGGAAGTTCTTTACAAGGAGAGTGGTTGGGCCCTGGAACGGGCTGCCCAGGGAGGTTGTGGATGCCCCGTCCTTGGACGTGTTCAAGGCCAGGTTGGACGGGGTCCTGGGCAACCTGATCTGAGTGTGTATGTTTGGTGGCCCTGCTAGGCAGGGGGGTTGGAACTACATGATCCTTGGGGTCCCTTCCAACTCGGGTGATTCTGTGATTCTGTGATCCCCAATTAAACACAACTGAGAGGAACTCAGAAACGTTTAATCCAGAAGTAAGAAACTCAGAAGCACCGATGATGAGCGGTATTTGACATTTCAAAACAAGTCCAATTCACCCAGCTAAGTGAGCAGCAATGAACGCTGAGGCTTTTTTTGTCTTTTACTTCATAGCATTGCTTTTCCACCACTTCCCTTGAAGTGTGTTAAAAACAAAACAAAAACAACCAACAACAGAAGCCTCAAAATCTGGTGAACATCAAGCACTGGAAGAAACACAGAACTCTGACTGGGGACGGATGGGAGCCAATCAAGAGTTTATAGACACAGATTGAAGGGAGGACAGGGACAGATGACGTAGCGGGGGATCTACAGGCCAACCAACCAGGATGACCAAGTGGATGAAACCTTCTCATGGGCAGACAGGAACAGCTGCATGCTGTGATTCTATGAACACGGCCTGTGTTGACAAGGACCACAATGCTCATCTCGTTCCAACCCCCCGCTGCGTGCAGGTTCACCAACCGCCAGCCCAGGCTGCCCAGAGCCACATCCAGCCAGGCCTTGAATGCCTCCAGGGATGGGGCATCCACAGCCTCCTTGGGCAGCCTGCCCGAGTTGTGGGCAGAGATTGGCTTGGTAGAGTAAGATCTACGGTATCTGTATCTATGAGTTAACACAGAAGAAATGCTTTGGGGCTTTTCTTGGCCTATCTCTTCATGAGATTCACTTCCAATAGTCTCAACACCCCTGTCACAGGATGATCTTTACACCTTTCAGAAGAAAGCCATCTTGAGCTGATGGAAAAAAGCTGGTAGCAATTGGACAGATGCATGCAATGAATCCAGGGATGGTTTGGAACGATTAACAGAGCAATGCAAAGCAGCTGAGCAACTTGTAGAAAAAAACAGTAGCAACAGCTTCCATACCCGGCCTCACCATTCTGACATCCCATCTGGTTAACCCAGGACTTGTAAATATCCACCGGATCCGTTCTGACGTTGAGCGATTCGTCCTCAATTATTTCCTTCACAACGGGGGCCAAGATCTGCCTCAGTGCGTTCTGACCACGGGCACCACGGTTGAAAGAGCGCATCTCAAAAATACAGAGGAAACAAAAGGAGTTCTACACAGGCACAACTATTTTCTTTCACTATTTCAACAAGTAAGCAATCAGCAACAAAAGCCATTCACAGCATGCCGCTATGGGAAATCCAGCAGCAGAGAATAAAGCACATACATGCACTTTCCTGAACTACTACTCCAAGAAAAGATAATAATAATTAAACAAACCTTTTAGACGTTACCTGTTTGAGGGCACATACCATCCTCATACTTAAAAGCATCAAAAAAGGCATGACTGCCTCCAACACTGTATGTATTTGGTCTTCCTAGCAAGTTGTCAAGCTCCGTATCAGCCACAAGTCATAAACACCAAACTCCTAAGTGACAATCAACTCCATTATGCCGACAGACAGCCAGAATCCTTAAGCCTGACAGCCAGTAAAAAACCCAAACCAGACAGCATCTGATTTTCAGCCTCCTCATCAGTTCTGGAAAACAGTGACCTTCGCGTCAGCTTCACTCTGGCCTGTAAAGCCCAAGCTCGCAGTCTGTGCCAAGTCCTTCTTACTAGACAGCAGAGAACTTAGATTGGACTGAATCTTAGGAAAGCACTGCAGATCAAAAATAGTGCCTCCCTGAGCAACAAAGCATTGGCTAAAGAAAAATGGCTTTAATCCTAAAGAACAAAGGTAATTCCTCCTCCTTCCAGGTTACAGAAAGGACTGACGTGAAACAGCATGAGCAGAAGGCAGGGACAGTTCAGCATTATCAGCAAATGAGCACAGGACATCACACAAGAACAGCTTCAATTTTAGCAGCGGCCCAAACTGAGGCAACAGCAAGGCTGTGTCCTACGCTACAACGTACTTGATCTCTTCCTGCAATGCTGTTTGCAACAGCCGCAACAGCAGAGATTCCTCTCTCTGACTGGATGCGTAGTTATGCAGCATGAAGATGGCTGAATCCATGAACTTTGTGGGTTTGTTTTGAGGCATCTGCAAAAGCAGCTTGGCCAAGTATGTTGGAGCAGTCTAAAACAAGAAGAAAAAGTACTTAGTGCACGTGTATAATCAATGACTATTAAGATGTTGTCATTATGAAATAAACAAGAGAGTTTGACAAAGCAGACTAAGCTAACAAAAGGAGAATAAATAGAAGGCTTACCCCTATCCTGGGCTCACTTACAAAACTCCAGCAGAGCAGATCTCCAGACAAGATCCTTCCCCACTGGTAGCCAGCTCTTAAACAGGTCTAGGAGGGCTGTAGCCTGGCTGCACCCCTTCCAGCAGCACAGCTGCATTGCCTTCACCTGTGCTCCTCTGCCTGACTCACTGCTCACCTCAGGTGATCAATCAGAGGTTCAGGCCACGACTCCGCAGTTCCCATACAGCACGTGTCCACAAAAGCCAACACCACAAAGACAGACAGCGCCTCAACACTGCAGTGCAGAAGCACAGACTGTTCCAATACACGTAAGCATCTATGACAAGAGCAGTGAATGAAAAGCTGCATACCTCAAGTAGAAAAGATGCTGATAGGCTTCCAGCTTTTCCCTCTCCTCTTTGCTCCAAGCTTTCAAACCCCCCTTTTGCTCGTTCAGCGTCATCACGTCACAGAGCTGTTCCTTGTTCTTCCTGCTAAGATTTTTGCTATGAGAAACAACATCCTGCAAAGAACACAGAGGGACAGATTCCACATTTAAATAACACGCAATATGGGAAAAAGCTGCACGATAGCACTTCCTTTTGTGTGGATAAGGCAGTCAAGGTACATCAGGAGATCATGAAGTGAAACATTATCTGTTATAGCAGCGATTTCTGTCTCGTCCCCACATTCCAGAATTTGTTGAGAACCTACAAGGACTAATTGCTTTGAGCAGGGACTGTTTCCATTTTGCTGACTCACTGCCTCCACTGCTCTGATAACGATGATACTTTTTGCTGCCAGCATCAGCCCAACAGCTGGAGCCTCCTTTGGAACTGAACTTTACTGCTGCCATGGTTCAGATTTTACACAAGGTCAAGCATAGCACTACGCTATTCAGGACCAAAGGAAAAGGTGACTGTAACTTCCGCTTGAATTAAAAAAGGCACCGCTGTATCAGCAATGTTGTTCTTGTGGGCAATCAATCGTCAGCAAAGTGACAGAGGGGGCTTCCATCAGCCAACCAACACCAAGCAGCCCGAGTACATTTCCTGCTCCAAAATCACCTCCCCCTTCTGATACAGCACACAAAACGTGAGAAGAAATTAAGGTGTGCAAGTCCATGACTCATGTAACCACAAGTGAACAGACAAACAGTTCTCAGAGCCTTCAAGCATACCATCTATTGCTTTCCCTTGGTCCCGAGTGGGTTCTTTCCTGGTGCTTTGTTTTTAAAACACTTGAAGCCTTGATGTTTCTGCTGCAGTTCTCTTTCTAGGGATACATAGTAATTAGTGGAACAGTTCGGAACTTACTGGGAGGAAAACCTGTAACTCTGGGGGAAATAGTTCCCACTGAATCTGAGTAAGTGAGATCCAGGCTCAGAAGGTCCTCATGCTAACTACCATTGGCCTCAATTCACTCTCCTAGTCTCCCAGCACTGCATTTCCTACCTGCAGTGTCATTCTGTTCTTCACTAGCAGTCCAATCTTGATGTCCATGAGATTGAGGTCATTTTCAAGCTGTTGATTAGATCGGATCAAGCTCACAACTTCCCCACACAGTTTCATTAGCTCCAGCTCCTCCTGAAAATCTGGGTCCGATCGAGCAAGTGAACAAATTTCCCAACCACAGCCATAGGTGGGTTTTCAGCATTAACTAAAAACAAGTGACAAAACATCAGAGGACAGGAAACAAATTAAGGCATGTGTTACCTCTGTGCAGACAGCATGTCAAGCAGCAGCCAGTCCAGGGTCAAATTAACACCAATGGGCTTGAATAACTCCTGACAGCATCCGGAACTTCTGGCATGGAATAAATCAGGACAGAAGTCAACGCTATAGGATGAAGTCAGTATCAGCTTAGGGGAGTCCACCTTGCTGAACTTACCCAAAGATCAGCGCTCCTATTTCCCAGCAGCAAAAGTACTACCGTGAACCAAGTTTGCACAGAATCACAGAATGTCAGGAACTGGAAGGGACCTCCAAAGATCATCTCGTCCAATCCCCCTGCTGGAGCAGGATCACCTGATTAGGGCACACAGGAACACGTCCAGGTAGCTGCTGAATGTCTCCAAAGGAGATCCCACAACCTCTTTGGGCAGCCCATCCCAGTGTTCTGTTACCCTTGCCGTGAAGAAGTTTTTCCTCTTATTTATGTGGGACCTCCTATGCTCCAGCTTGCACACACTGCCCCTTGTCCTATCACTGGATGTCACTGAGAAGAGCTTGCCTTCATCCTCCTCACACTCACTACTCACACATTTATAAACATCAACGAGGTCACCCCTCAGTCTCCTCCAAGCTAAAGAGACCCAGCTTTCTCAGCCTTTCCTCATAGGGAGATGCTCCACTCATCAGGGCAGAGTAGAGGGGAAAGAGAACCTCTCCACCTCCTATCCGTACTCTTTCTCATACACCCCAGGATGCCCTCTTGGCCACGAGAGCACAGTGCTGGCTCATGCTCCTCCTACCGCCCACCAGGATCCCCCAATCCCTTTCTGCTACGCTGCTCTCCAACAGCTCAGCCCCCAACCTATACTGGTACTCAGGTTGCTCTTGCCCACATGCAAGACTCTACACCTGCCCTTGTTCTTTCTCATTCCGTTTCGCCCCACCCAGCTCTCCAGGTCTCGCTGGAAGGCAGCACAGCCTTTTG